GTTTTATTTAAATTAAGCATCTTTAAGTTATGATAGACCATCGGTTAACAGTTTGTTAACACATTTTTACCTTAAGACTGTTGCAAAACTGTGGCATATTTTTGGTGAACTTACATTAGTTAGTTTACAAAGCAAAGTACATGTAGGGGGAAATGTGGCATGTGCCAGGTTCTTTTCCCATCTTGCAGTAAGTCCATTGTCTTACAGGGAAGGCCTCCTTAATGTACACAGTGTCCCATGCATCAGTGCTCCATTCATGCATGTCCAGTACCATACCTCAGCTGTGCACCTCCTCCATATCACTTGCCTGCACTCACACAGCTCCCTAATGGCCACACCACTTCACCCACACCATCCCAACCAGCAACCTCCACCTACAAAACCCGCCCATACAATCCCCCCAACCCCCGGCCCCATGCCTACACCCAGACCATTTCCCCATGGCCACTATCTCCCCAAGACCTTGCACCCACACCACCTCCCCATGACCTTGCACCCACACCACCTCCCCATGACCTTGGACCCACACCACCTTCCCATGACCTTGCACCCACACCACCTCCCCATGACCTCACACCCTCACCACCACCTCATGACCTTGCACCCACACCACTTCCCCCAAGACCTCGTATCCATACCACCTTCCCATAATGTCGCACCCATACCACCTCCCCATGACCTCGCACTCACACCATCCCCCTATGACCTTGCACTCACACTTTACTCAGTCTTTCACCCTAACATGCCATCCTTACACCTAATCAGTCACCCATCATTCATATACTTCCCATGCCACTAACCACACACATTCACCCTGTCACCCTTCCACACCACAACCACCCACAGTGGGCTGCCAACACACCACCACCCACAATGGGCCACCAGCACATCACTTCCCACAATGGGTCACCACACACTACCACCACCCACACTGGGCCATCAACACACCACTACCACCACCCACACTGGGCCACCAACACACCACTACCACCACCCACACTGAGCCACCAACACACCACTACCACCACCCATACTGGGCCACCAACACATTACCACCACAACCACCCACACTGAGCCACCAACACACCACTACCACCAACACATTACCACCACCACCACCATCCACACTGGGCCACCAAAACACCACTACCACCACTCACACTGGGCCATCAACACACTGCCACCACCCACACTGAGCCACCAATACGCTACCACCACCACCAATACTGGGCCATCAGCACACCACTACCACCACCCACACTGGGCCACCAACACACCACTACCACCACCCACACTGGGCCACCAATGCACCACTACCACCACCCACACTGGGCCACCAACACACCACTACCACCACCCACACTGGGCCACCAACACACCACTACCACCACCCACACTGGGCCACCAACACACCACTACCACCACCCATACTGGGCCACCAACACACCATTACCACCACCCACACTGGGCCACCAACACACCACAACCATCCACACTGGGCCACCAACACTACCCACACTGGGCCACCAACACTACCCACACTGGGCCACCAACACTACCCACACTGGGCCACCAACACTACCCACATTGGGCCACCAACACACCATCACCACCACCAGCCACACTGGACCACCAAAACACCACTACCACCACTCACACTGGGCCATCAACACACTGCCACCACCCACACTGAGCCACCAATACGCTACCACCACCACCCATACTGGGCCATCAACACACCACACCACCACACACACTGGGCCACCAGCACACCACCACCCACACAGGGTCACCAGCACACCACAACCACCCACACTGGGCCACCAACACACCACAACCACCCACACTGGGCCACCAACACACCACAACCACCCACACTAGGCCACTGTCACCACCACCACCTCCACTGGGCCACCAACACACCACTACTCACACTGGGCCATCAACACACCACCTCCCACACTGGGCCACCAACACACCACCACCACCCATACTGGGCCACCAACACACCACTACCACCATCTACACTGGGCCACCAACACACCACTACCACCATCCACACTGGGTCACAAACACACCACTACCACCACCCATACTGGGCCACCAACACACCATTACCACCACCTACATTGGGCCACCAACACACCACAACCATCCACACTGTACCACCAACACACTACCACCACCCACATGGCCACCACCACCACCACCCACATTGGGCCACCAGCACACCACTACCACCACCCACACTGGGCCACCAACATATTACTACCACCAATACTGGGCCACCAACACACCACCACCCACACTGGGCCACCAATGCACCACCACCCACACTGAGCCACCAATACATCACCACCACCACCACCCACACTGGGCCACCAACACACCACCACCACCCACACTGGCCACCAACACACCACCACCACCCACACTGGTCCACCAGCACATCACCCACACTGGGCCACCAGCACACCACCACCCACACAGGGCCACCAGCACATCACCACCACCCACTCACTTGACCACTGACACACCACCACCTACACTTGCCCACTGACAGCACCATCACCCACACTTGGCCACTGACACACCACCACCACCCACATTGGGCCACCAGCACACCACTACCACCACCCACACTGGGCCACCAACATATTACTACCACTAATACTGGGCCACCAACACACCACCACCCACACTGGGCCACCAATGCACCACCACCCACACTGAGCCACCAATACATCACCACCACCACCACCACCCACACTGGGCCACCAACACACCACCACCACCCACACTGGGCCACCACCCACACTGGGCCACCAGCACACCACCACCCACACAGGGCCACCAGCACATCATCACCACCCACACTTGACCACTGACACACCACCACCTACACTTGCCCACTGACAGCACCATCACCCACACTTGGCCACTGACACACCACCACCACCCACAATGAGCCACCAGCACACCACTATCACCCTCACTGGGCCACCAGCACACCACCACCACCCACACTTGGCCACTGACACACCACCACCACCTACACTTGGCCACTGACAGCACCATCACTCACATTGGGCCACCAGCACACCACCACTACCACCCACACTGGGTCACCAGCATGCCACCATCACCCACACTGGGTCACCAGCATGCCACCATCACCCACACTGGGCCACCAGCACACCACCATCACCCACACTGGGCCACCACCCACCACCATCATCCACAATGAGCCACTGACACACCACCACTACCCACACTGGGCCACCAACTCACCACCATCACCCACACTGGGCCACAGACACACCATCACCCACACTTGGCCACCGACACACCACCACCACCCACAATAAGCCACCGACACACCACCACCACCCACAATAAGCCACTGACACCACCATCACCACCCACACTGGACCACTGACACACCACCACCACCCACACTGGGCCACTGACACACAACCACCACCCACTCTGGGCCACTGACACATGACCAGCACCCACTCTGGGCCACTGACACCACCCACACTGGACCATCACACCCACATCTATTACCCACACGATTTCCTCACAGCTTCAAGCCCACACGGCCTTCATATACACCTTTCACCCATACCACTTACAGCTTCAAACCCACAGTCCCACTCCTACACCTTAACCATAATTTAATGGCCCCCACACCCTAACACATCCACACATCTAGCAATGTAACCACTCACCACTCATTACCTTAGCACCACCAACTGCACACTCACTCACCCATCATCCATACCACCAGGCCACAGATACAACCACACTTTTTGCCTATACCACTCCTCACAGCTTCAAGCTCTCACAGCCCTATGACCATACCTTACCCATGCTTTTTTTTGCCAGCACGTCCTAAAATACTGTCCATACACTTAGATTTTTAGATTTTTTGTGGGGGCTAAGGAATACGTATAACCAAAAATTTCCCCTAATGTTCTTCAGTTCATTTTGCATGATTTTTGATTACACACCATTTTCAGGAATGTAACTATCATGTTAACCAATGGTCAGCTGTATATAAATTTTGGTTAGGTAAAAAAAATACTACCTTTTGCAAATTACTTCCTCTCGTCTAGCAAGAATGGTGGGGGGCTGAGGGCACTGCTTGTGGCAGAGGGTACGACCTAAATTTCACATTTCTGGATTTTTTTTTTTTTTTTTTTTTTTTTTTTTTTTTTTTTTTAAAGATTTATGGCACACTCTTATCAAGGTTTTTATAATGCACTATGAAATTTTGGATTTTTAAGTCTTGTTGTAACAAAATTGCACTAATGATTTTGTCAGTGTTTAAAGGAAACCCACAAGTAGACTAAGAAAACACGGTTATATTATGGAAGTTCATAGATGAGGTCCTCTTTATCAGCTCTCCTTGGAATCATTAACTAGCCACATGAATGAATGGGTTTATGATGATACATACAAATTCATTTTAAATATGTTTGAATGTGAAAAGTTTCACTGTGAGGTTGGCATGTACTGGATATTGTGAGGATGTTAAAGACTGCATATGTGGAAAAACAGCAGAGTTTGTCTTGTGAATGGTGTCATTTGGTAAATGTGTTGGGTGATGGACACCAGTTATAATATTTGGTGCAAGTCCTGTTAGAACCCTTGCTTTTTATATTTTTTTATAGATGATTATATCAGTTAATTTTCAATTTTTAGGTTACAGAATGTATTCTACTCTAATTGGTATTTTTTTTTCCAAGTTCAGATAAACATTGCAATTATTTTTAAAAAAAATGGCATGTCGAAATCACATGGCTTACTCTTATTATTGTCTTCCATTTTCTTATAGACCTGTCCACAGATGATTGTAGATAACAGTCTCCTTAGCATAAGCATGTTCACATTTTTTATTTTTTCCATCATTTTCTTAATTTTAGTCTAATCAGGAAGCAATAGAGATAAGTTTGCCAATAATGGGGAAATGAATTCATGAATTTGCCTGTTAGGTATGCGGTCGGAGTGACCGTGAGGACCGGCTGCTGTTGTGTGATGGCTGTGATTTGGGTTATCACCTGGAGTGCCTTGATCCACCATTGACTCGTGTACCCATCGAAGAGTGGTTCTGTCCTGACTGCCAGGCTGTGAACAGCTCCTCAGCTGCTGCAGAGGTCTGTTTTATGAAACAATTGGTCAAGTCTTTTGGTTCAAAATTTTAATATAGAGTTTTTGTTTTGTTTTATTTTTATTATTTGCATTCATTAAAATGATTAAAACGATTTTTATACTTAGGAAGGTAAGTAATACATATATACAAGAAAGTTTTGAGTGACTTGTGGAATGGTATGTGTGCATGAACCATATACTGTACTATAGTACTTATTTAAATTTTGACTTGAAAGGAAATGTTTAAGAAAAGCTTAAAAGTAAACTGGAAAAATCACAATATCTCTTGGAACATTAAGCAAGATATTTAAAACACTTGAATGGTGTAGCACTGGCCCCTCTCAAGTGAGCACTACTTTGTGAACTGCTGTATTTTTTCAACCACTTAAGTATCTTTCAGCAACAGGTTTTTTCTCTCTTTTTTTATATCACAGGTAGTATTACTGTATAGTTTCGCCCTCATGTTTAGAAACTAAAGTTTTTGTTAAACTTCATTCCTCCATCCTGGTAGTTATTTTATGAGCAGTGATTCCTGGAATCCATAACAAATAGCTGGACCAGAGACAGTACAGGCATACCCTCCTTAACAGCAGTCCCCCCCCCCCCTTTTTTTTTTTAAACCCACCAGCCATGTCGCACTAAGGTGGGGTGATTCCCCCGCACCCAAAAAAAGGAAACCTTCATTATCAGAAGTGTGAAGACATTACTGTTCAATTTACCCTTCAAACTGCAACATCTCCACCCCCATTTTTGGCTTGCAGGCACTGCACTTTCCACCTTGAGGACTCAAAGCCTGGCTAACCAGTTTCCCTGAATCCCTTCATAAATGTTACCTTTCTCACACAACAGCACATCAAGCCATGAAAACCACTCTTCTCCAATCACTCTGATCAAACAAACTCACACAAGCCTGCTGGATGCTCAACACCTCAGCACTCTAAACCTTTACCCTGTCCCTCCAACCCTTCCTTGGATGACTTCTACCCCTCCTTCCTTCTACCCCTAATTTATACATCCTCTTGGTCATCCTCTCTAAATGTCCACCCTACCTCAACAACTTCTGAGCCCTTTGAACTACATACATCTTTTGTAACCCCACAGAGGTATATTCAGCAAAAATTCATAGTTCAACAGAATATTTTCCCATAGATTCACTTAATATAATTGAAGATGTGGTCCTTGGAAAAAATTTAACATGCTTAATACATTTTAATGGATGCAGTGCATATGCATAACCATCATGTATACAAGAAATCAACAGTATAGCTTAACCCCAGTCCCTTCAAAATGCACAAGTAACGCTCATTAGCCATGGTCAACTTGTAGGCATGATGACTTGAGAGGTGTGATTGAACTGGATATTTCTGAGAGGAAGAGGGAGGGACAGAATCATGTGCTTCCTCATCTGAGTAAGCAGCTCTATGAGGAGGCCTGTTGTTGGGGGATTACCCTGTTTATAAATGGCTGTATTGTAGCTACAAGTCTCTCCTTAATGTCTGTTTTGGCTGTAGAGAGTAATCTTAAATTGGGTGTTAATGAAAATTATACAGTAGCCTGTAGCAACACAGTGCATTGTTGACCTTACTGGGGCTTATCCTGCAATTTTGGCATGGGTCCTGAAAGCCTCCAAACTTGTTCCATAATGTTTAATCCCTCCCCTTTCCCTCACCTTTGCTTTATAGTCAACATGTAGGTATTACAGGTTTCAGCACTAGCATCTCCATCTTCTGATATGGCTCATTGTTCTTCAACTCCAGCAGCTCCACAACATCAGCCTCATCGCTGTCTTCAAGACCAACAACCTTAGAGAGGCCCACACTCTACTGTGTATGTCTAAAACTGTCACCTGGAATCCATGGAAATAACTGATAGATCCAGGCCTCGGTTATTTTTTTACACACCGTTCATAGTGGTCACCGTGAGTCTCATCCAAAAATTTCTTGATAGAAATGGCATCCACAATGGCATGGTTTCCAGAACTCCAGAATTGTTGGCTTGTCCTTGTTAACAGTGTGAGATGAATTTAGAGAAGGTTCTTTTTAAGTAATGTGCTGTGAATGTGGTTATAGCATTTTGATGCATTGGCTGAATCAAGGACACAGTCATCTTGAGAAAAAGCCCAACTCGGATGAGGTTTGGAAAAGTTATTCAGTGAAGTGAGATGACATGGAGCATTATCAATGAGGAGCAAAGCCATGTGAGCAATGTTGCTGTCAATGCAGTGTTCTACAGCTAAGTAAAAATAGGATTATAGCCAGTTCTGAAATATATCCATTGTTGTTGTTCTTTCAACAAACCGGCCATATCTCACCAAGGCAGGGTGGCCCAAAAAGAAAATGAAAGTTTCTCTTTTTAAATTTAGTAATATATACAGGAGAAGAGGTTATATCTATAGTTACCTATGTTATATTAATGTATTATGAAATTACAAGAAGATAGATAGGGTTTACAGATGCATTTTATGCCCTTGACATTACCAAATGGTACACTGCCATGGGCTTAAGTTGGAAATTCATCCATTCATTTCCTCCTACAAAAGTGAGATGGCCCTTGGCTTATTAAATTCTTATAATCTTTTCATTAACAGAAGGTTCTTGATAGCATACACATTCATTGCAGTCATATTGCTGACAATGAACACTTGAAAATATCTTGTTGTTTGAGGCAGCTGCCTCTGTATTACCTCTGTCTCACCGGTCAGTCCAACATTATGCCAGTTGTAAAGCCTCTTAAATCTTTCAAACCACACTTTACTACAGTTAAAAATGTTTATGTTCAAACTAATTGTTGTATAAAGAACAAAAGGCACAATACCCTGACTGGAACAATTCGCAAATAATCCGCACATAGAGAAAAGCTCATGATGCCATTTCAGTGCAAGTCGGACCAAAATGTAATCATGAGCTACTCTCTCTCCTATGTGCGGGTTCTTTCTTTCTTCTTTCAACACCGGCCGTATCCCAGGGTTATTTGTGTATAATTTTTGTATGTTATTTAAATCATTATACAGTGAAAACTTATTACCTTTTACATAAATGTAATTTAGGTTCACTGTAAAAGAACTAGGCTGCAGGACACAGTGAAGCACAGGTATAAGGAAAGCTTCTTAAATGGAACTGTGATAAGCCTTTTTGGTAATACAGTGGTCCCTTGAGTTAAGATATTAATCCATTCCAGAAAACATGTCGTATTTCGAAACTGTTGTAACTCAAACCCCAAGATACATTTTTCTGTGATAATCCGCTCCAAGACCCCAGAAATGTAACTTTTACTGTACCTTGGACTTGCATGCTCATAGATATAACTTGCAGACACTATCTCCTTCATCTGCTTCTATCTTACCCACAGTAATAACAGTCTTTCCATTTCTCTAATAATTTCACTGCTTTTTCTCACTAGCTTGGTCATCATCATTCTTTATTATTTCTATATGCCTGATAATTTTAGAGATGGTTGATTGTGGCAAGCCTTACTCATGCACCAGTGCACTAATTTTTTGCTTGATCTTCAGAGAAATTGCTTGTTTACTGCACACTTTAAAGGCCATGATGACTTGGTAATGCAAAAGATGGTATAATTAAAACAAATGCAGTTATGAAGGGTAAATAATCGAGAGTTAGTGTGGGCAACACACACTGGTAGCTTGAAACTGAAGAGCAAACAGTAAGCTGTAGTACAAACTCTGCTATTGCCTCAGATGCTACCCGAGACATTCAACTCCATTACTGATTGGCTGCTAAGCCACCCTCACAGGCCTCCACTCCTGTTGGCTCAGATGCTGTGTAAGAGGTAAGCTACTGCATCACTGGTTAGCTAAGGCCCACCCACATAAGAATTGATGCTCCGATTGGTTCATACACTGCGCAAGAAGCAAGCTACCACATCACTGGTTGGCTGAGTCCCAACTACATATGCTGACCATACTAATAATCTTTATTTCAACAAGTACATGATACCTCTATTACAAATCTAGCTGACATCATTGGAATACTATTGTATATAGAAAGCCCCTGGTTAATCAGAGCATTTTGGACAACTTAGGTTAATTTTATTTCCCAGGATGAAATCTACAAGTCATCTGACACCCAGGTATATATTTGTTGTTTGATGAACAGGTTTAATAGGTGTAAGGAAATGTGGTCAACATTTCCCGGACCTCAATATGTGAGCTAAGGACACTGTCAATCAAGCCATGAGCACTCCATTGTACACATATCATATCTTAAATTTTTTATCACGACACAAAGCTAAATTCCTGTGAGGGCAAATCATAACTCAAGGGACCACTGTATTAAAATATGATATATGCTGAAAGGGCAGTTGTTTGGTAGTTTCATGGCACAAGAAATAAAAAATTGTCAATGAATATTTTAAGCTCTTGTATATGTAAACTGAACCAAATTAAAATTTGGTGAATTTGAAGAGTTTGTCTGTTCAAAAAAAAAAAATAAGATTAAAGTAGGTTTAGGTGAAATTAATATGGTTTTTTAACACGTTATTCTACTCGTAAACATTTTACAAAAGGCGGCATTTCTGGCTGATAAGATTGTCGATGGTGAGGTAATGTAATAAATGTAAAATAACATTAATACTTTTCCAGTACATTATTTATGTTGCATTGTCTTCAATAAATTTCCTTGTGTTTTTGCATTTAAAATTTTTTTTTGTAGTACATTAAAAAGTCATTCTACATATTAATAATTCTTCATAAAAAATGTGTCAGGCTGAAATTGAGGATGGAGAACTCCATGACTTAATTGAAGATGGTGCTCCAAGTTCCTCTCTCCCAGCATTGCGTCCCAACCGTGCAGTTGAGAGACCGAGACTACTACCCCGCACTCGTGCCTCAGAAAGAGTTCGTGCTCGCATCACCCGTTCACGTCAGCAAAGAGCTGTTATTACAGAGACTGAAATGGAAGAGCAGGAAGCAGTACTTGAGGCTATTGCAGTAAGTTTCATTACTAAGGGCATTTCCTTATTATTTTATTGTATTTTTTTAAATAATTTTTATCATTTTTATCTAAGGAATCTGTAAGAAAGATATTTTGTACTGAGTTTATGAAAGAAGTTTGATTTATTTTTCAGTAAATGAGGTTTTTATTGCTTATAGATTAAAATTAGCATTTTCTACAAGTAGTGTTGGCAGCCTTTGCAGTTTCATACTTATGTTTGGTACATTCAAGAATGGACCAGCCTGATAAATAGAAATTACTTTTCAACTCTTATGAGTGAAAAGAGTCTAAACCACCTTATTCAAGTTAAGAAAAATAATCCTTTTTCCATAATTTTAGCCAAGGGGCCATTTATACTCATTTCTTTAATGATAAATTTTTTGTGACCCATATGGGCTTAGTACCTGTTTTTAACATAATCTAAAAGAATGTAATGATTTTACAGACATAGTTCTAAAAATTATAAGGACGCTGATGCCCAAAAGTGAACGTAGTTCCAATACTGTAAATGAAAATATTTTAACATTATTGTAAAAATGGTGTTTTTCAAGGTAATGGCCTTATTTTGAAGTCTGTAAGTATTTCATATATTTTAAAGTTTTTAAGGTTTGAAGAAATGCTTGAAAAGTTTTCCAAGTAATTTCATATGTTGACTTTGTTATATAGCAGGGTTACTTTTTTTTTTATGTATACTCTTACCTGGGTTTAATGCTAATATGTTGGTTCAATAAGTTTTAAGTATTTCGTTAGCCTTTTTTTTTTTTAAGCTTCTTAATATGCCATTATTAATAAATTTTATATACAGGATAATTTAGTGATCATATGTCCTCTTATTATTTCTCATGTCAAAAAAATTACTGAATAGGTCAGATTTGGTAAGCAAACTTCATCAGTCATCCAGACTCCTCTACATGCATTTGAAGGCAGGTTGATGGGGGCTGCAGCATATGGTAGCCATTTCAAGTGCCAGTTTAAGATGAATATTTTCCTCATTTAACCTTGTACATTCAAAACTTCAAAGTAGATTAGGAATAGAGAAGGCTTGGAAATTGGTATTTCTTCATAAAATTTTGAACAAATATTATAATTTAGAAGAGTCAGATGACTAGAAAGTTTTGTCCATCAGTGAAGAGCAAATTAATTTGAATAATGATTTGTTAAAATAAGAAGTCTGCTTCATACAGTATTGTTTTGAGCTCTTCCTTTCAAGATTATTGTTTTAAAGTAAAGCTGAAATAGAATTTCATTATATTGTTCTAAGTCGTCGTCATCTTTCAACAATGTAGATGAATGGTTCAGAAACCGACAAGTTGATAAATTAAGACACATATGCAGCACTTGGGTATCTTTATTAAGGAAACGTTTCACCACACAGTGGCTTCATCAGTCCATATAAAGGAGAATGGTGAAGAACAGGAAGAGTTTGAGGTAATTAGTCTCTCAGCCTTGAGTCGATGTGATCAGTCCATCAATCTTGAAAAGAATACAGCATATGTGCGAAGAAGTAGCTTATGTACTGTAGACAGGAGAGGTGCAGCAGTCGTAGGAGATGTCACATTTGACCAAAGTGG